GTGCATCCGCGAGTGCGTGGCTTGGGCTGCGCGGCCGCGAGCACTGGGCAGCATGCGTCCATCTCGACTAAGGCTCGATATACTTGACCGAAAGTTGTTCGTCTCTTGGGGTTCGGTTTGACTTGTCTTTAATCCTCGGGAAAAACCTGAAAATATACAACGAGCACGGAAAAGTATGCCAAGACATAAAATGAAATGAAAAACCTGAAAACACACGGAAAACGACAAAATGGACCGGTCAACATCGAAATGAACCTAAAAACGACTCGATAACACACATAAACACATAAAAATAAGCACAAAAACATAACAAACATTGTGTTGATCTGGTAATTGTCCTATGGGATGTGGGGAGCTTTCTTTTTCATCTCTTAGGAGAGCGAGGATTATCGACCCAAGGCTCTGAAAGAGTAGTCTGTCGCAACGAAGAAGATATGACTGAACGAGTAGAAAGGAAAAGGGGAGCTATGTTGGCGCAAGGCACCGTAAGGCTTTGGGTATTAAAGGGGACAGGTTCCTGTTGAGCGGTACCATACGAGGTTACCTCCCGGTCCTTCCTATGGTGTTATGCGTAGAATATGTTCCCCAACATATTCTACCCCTAACACAGATTCTATTAATATTGTATAGAAGTATTTCATTTCAGTTCATCTGTTCATCTCTTAAGACTGAATTATGAGTATTGATTCATATCTTCTATTCATATAGAAGCATCGCCTAGACCCTTCCTTTCAAATCCTATTCGTCGCTACGCAACTAGTTAGAAAAACATGTCATTCGGACTCCTCCTCGAGTAGTCCTCTTCGTGTGGTTGTTTCGTAGTTTCCCGACCGTCTCTCTCTTTATCCAGAATTGGATCTGGACTCTGACTGAGGTGTGTTTGTCGTTTCTGAACGTTCGGGTGCCTGGGTGGTTGGTAGTCGGAGGTGGTAGATGTGTCTCTACTAATTAAAAGGGGGACTTCTTTTCTCAATCAAGCCTCGACGAGATACCTTGGACTCAGCTGAGTCAATAAAAAAGAAATAGCTTTGAGAGATGATGCGTCTGGAAACTCGGGATCGTAAATGGATTCGAGTACCATTCTGATCGCCTCTTTCATGATGATTCTTCTGTTCACCTATCTATTAGGTCACCTTCCTTGCTGCATAGCAGCTCACCGACTACGTCTTCCTATACCTCGCGATAAGCGTGTTTAAAGCGAAGCATGGCCGCTAAAGGACTCTTTTCCCAAATGTCAATAAATATCTCTAGCTTCCACCGGATTCTAACACTCTACCCTCTTTCCTGCATGTGCTCTCTCCACTCAATCTGCAATATATCTTTCTCAATTACATGGATCCTCAAAAAGAACCAGTCAAGGGTGATGTGGATATCAGTTCAATCGAAGGGGTGTTGTTCCATATATATCTCCTTTGGATTTTTATTACAAAAATTTAGTATAGATGCTTAATAATGGTATTTTATTTTTCCACTTCAAATTTTCGAGTCGAGCTCGAGTTCGAGCAATTGTATTTTTTTATCGAGTTGAGCTCAAGCCTCATAAATCAAGTTCGAGCAGCTAAAAAAAATAATCATGCTGAATAAGGCAATGTTCGACTCGTTTGCAACCCTAGAGGTGTAGTAATAGACTAGTATGCCGAAAGTTATGATCTACTGATGTGAATACAACGCCAAGTAGTAAAAATGAAAAGAGGTGAATATTAAAGGTGGTGCACTAATTTGTGATTCTTAATTTATTTTGAATATCTTAAGAATTATTGTGTATTTAATTTAAATTTTTTGTCTTAAAATATTTTATTGAATAATTGATGGAAAAAAAAAGGAATAGCCAGTGTAAAGTGATTTGTAAATCGTAATTTAGAAGATAAATATGAGAGAAAAATATAGTATGTTAAGTTTACTACTTGCCCAAACTAAGCAGAAAATAATGGTGAATTAAAACCCTTTATTTCTTTCACGCACTTATTAGTAATGAAAAATTAAGACAGTGAAAGATATTTTATCTTATACTAAATAAAATGAAATAAATGAATGGGATAATTCATAGCCTAATTATACATTATTTATTTATTTATTTATTTATTTATTTTGAAAAAGTATGAGGAATCAATATATGGTTACATAACCTCATGTCAAAATTTGTATTTAATTACATATCATGTGCCCCAACCTAATTCATGTAAGGACCTGAATCTGAACAAATAGGAGTAAAAGAGATTCACCACCCACAATCTTAATCTATATCTATATAATTGGTCTCACAAAACATTAAATAAAAGTTATTTAATTATAATTACGTGACACTTTCCCGCCAAAAATTGTTAATGACTAGCATTAATTATTTTTTACACTAATTGGATCATAATAATTTTATTAGGCGAAAATCAGGATACTACGATTTTCAATGAATGTTGACCAGACATCTTAAAAATTTTTAATTATCATAAGGACAAAAACAAAATCACTCGCTTTTGACAAACTAAAATCCTAATTGAATGCATGTTTGAAACTGCTTAACTATTAAGTGGTATTGCATTTTTTTTAACTTAATATATAATAGCATTAAAAATTATATTATAAATACGATATTTTACTTATATTACTTTACAACGTACAATACGAAATTGTTAGCTTATCTACCGTGCGCAAATTAAGACGTGTTTGTTTAGTATATAATTAATGGGCAAGGATAACCGAGCTACCCGACTCGGGTCGATCTCGAAGGAAGGCTATTCGGAGCTTTGTCTACTAAATGATTGTCCAAATCACAAAAAAAAAAAAAGAAAATAAAGTCTTAAACATTCTAAGAAATTGATTGGATGGTTGATTAACACTAAACGAGCACTTAAAAACAAGCAAACAACTAGAAGCAAAATGAAATCGCGAGCAATTAGCAAACTAGATCACCGAAGTCTCATGCCATGACCATATCGGAATGATAGTCAATCGACAAATGGAATAAACGAGCTACGAGCATTAGATTGCTAACCCTAGTCGTCTAACCGAGATCAACAAGCAATTAACGGCTCTATCTACTCAAGCAAGCAATCAAGTTCAAGCATTTCCACCATCATCAATCAAATCCAATTTACTCTAATGAACATTATAAGTAAAACAGGAGCAAAAACTGAAGTAAAGAGCTTTAAAACTAAATACTCAATCTTCCATTGCGTAGACGATGAAAAACGGAGTCAAAAGCTCGAAACTTAAATGAAACCGAAAGCGCCGGAAAATCTCCCGAAAAATAGCATAAGCTCCTAATCTAGAGAGCAAAAATAAAACATAAACTAATTTCCCAAAGAGGAAAAGTGAAAAATGAGAGAACGATGTTCAGAATGCAAAGGAACAAAAATATTTATAGTCTAGCCAAAACACACACTACAAAAACGCACAATTACTAAGGCACTCTCGACCTAGCCATAAAATCCGCGAGCACGCGAGCAGTAGACAGACGTGGGCGCACGAGGGCACGACACTCTCCATGGCGTGAAGTAATCCGCGAGTTCGTGGACGTTGGTAGGGCGTGTATGGACACGGACTCTCGACGTCGCGCTGCTTTCCGCGTGTGCGCGAGTTGTGGCGGGCGGCGTGCGTGGGGGATGTGGCTCTCAACATCGCGGATAGATCCGCGAGCTCGCGAGTGTGGGATGGGTGAGCTGCGTGTGGTATTCTCGACCTCGCCACCTTTTCCGCGAGTGCGCGGCATGCGGGGAGTTGCAGTAGTGCGGGCTCTCAATCGCGCCAAGGAATCCGCGAGGTCGCGGCTGGGGATGTGCGCATGGTTGGCTGCTGCTTGCGTCCGCGGGGTCGTGGAGAGTGGCGCGAGCACGCGAGTGTGAATGTCCGGCTGCTGCGTGCGTCCGCGAGTGCGTGGGTATGGGCGCGACCGCGCGAGTGCAGGCCAGCAGGGTATTCTCGTCAAGGGCTCGACAGGCTCGAGTAAGAATTTGCTCGTACGAAATGGCTCTAAAATGCTCGTCTCTTGGGATTCGGTTTGACTCGTCTTTAATCCTCGGGAAAAACCTGAAAATATACAACGAGCACGGAAAAGTACACCAAAATATAAAATGAAACGAAAGACACAAAAACACACGGAAAACGACAAAATGGACCGGACGACACTAAAACGAACCTAAAATCGACTCGATAAAACACATAAACACATAAAAATAAGTACAAAAACATGACAAACAACTCCCCCACACTTAACTTTTTGCTTGTCCTCAAGCAAACAAAATAACAAATAGCTCTAAAAGATAAATCGAACGGTCCAAGATTAACGAACATGCTAAATGAAACTCTCATTATCATCCGGTTATCCCAAAATCAAGATCCAATTCGAGACACGGTCCCCACATAATGAATCAAACGAAACAAAAACTCGTCCTGAGTCATTCCACGAATGATCACTCGAGTCAAACTCCCTTATCACATATACGTGCAAAAACCATAAATGATCTACAAAACATGAAATAATAAGCACGAGATCAATAAGCCAACTCCCCAACTTTTTTTTTTTATTTTATTCTCAAATGAGCCACTTTTTCCAAATGAGAGTCGTTTAGGACGATTATTACCTAGGTTTAACCTCGGAGGTTTGTCCCCTAGTCTCCTAGGCCAGTTTCCCGTGCTCATTGACCCGATCTATCTAGGAGATTAACCGATCCAAGAGGAGCCTAATCCCGTCGACTCTCACGAACTCATTTCGTGAGCTTCTTTTTCCAAACGAGGTTTCCGGACGAGATGATCTAGGTTTAACCTCGAGGGGTTTCCCCGAGTTTTCTAGACCGGTTTCCCAGGCTCATTATCCCAATCCACGAATGGCTCGGAATAAGAGGAGCCTAATCCGTACTTCCTCGCGAACTCACTTTTTATTCTCCTTTTCCTTTTTTTTTGTAGGGAGAGGCACACAAGGATACATCACAATTACAATACATAATCATCTCAACTCGATCGAAATGTACCACAAGTGTATAGATAACACGTTTACAACGATAGTCGAACGTAAGGAAGGAATGCCTCAAGACAACCAATCGAGAACAAACAAATGACAAAACAATTTCGTTAATCCACATGCGGGTTCCAATGTCAACGAATCATCAATCAACTAAAGAAAACCGTCAAATTCATCAAGTATATCAAGCATGAATGCTAATAGTGAAACCAATCAATAATCTTGACTCACCACTTAGCTATCTCGACTCTCGAACAAACATCAAGTTTCATGCGGGAGAGATGACACAAACACACAAAAACTCAACTAAAACCGGTTCACGACATGACAAAAACGAAAAATAAGGCACAAAAACTAAGAGAACATCACCTAAACATGCATAATCACGAAAATCCCTCCCCCACACTTAAAAGAAAGTAATGTTCTCATTGCTTGACCAAAAAGCATAGGAGAAGGCACATAATCACGTAAGTTCATGCGATAAAAACGAAAACGAAAAACAAAAATCAAAGAAACGAGAAGAAACACACTCACGAAGACACACACAAAACAAACAAGGAAAGAGAAAATAGGAAAAGAAAATGCGTACTCGACACGGTGGTCGTCACCATCGTGTGCCCAATAATGGTCGTCCGGAGGGAATAGAGGAGGTCAACCGAAGGCCATCGAGCGTGAAATGGAGCCGTCCGAACGGTGTAACGTTGAGCACATGAATCGAGAGAGGCCATGTGTGTGTGTCTCGGAGAGATGGTAACCATGCATGCATAAACTCGACGTAGACACACGTTCACGTGAAAGCGCAAAAATCAGACCTCAAAGTCCTTGTCGATCCCCGCCATGGTCCGACACAACGAACTCCATTGTATGCAACGCATAATCGATTATCGGCGTTTGCCGTAACTAGGTACCTACAAACTCAAATCCCGGTAAAAACACAAATATGTGGCACGCCCGGCAAGACGTGCCTAAAACACACAAGTCGAACCCAAATATCTCAATACGACTACTCCGGCAAGAGTAGTAATCCAAGCACAACGAATATAATGAAGGTACGGAAATACAAATCGAAATCGAGACGTTGGACCTTGGAAAATTTCGAGAAAAACAGTCGCCGGAGTTCGTAA